ACACTAGGGACATTTAGATTTGCACGACGAGAACGTGGACTGCTACGTGTGACATCAATTTAAGGCAATGTGACGTCCTTTTAAGGCACTGGCAGTGACGTCACATTGCCTTAAAAGGATGTGACACGAGCAGTCCACGTTCTCGTCGTGCAAATCTAAAAGTCCCTATGTACGTCCGGTTGCAGACTTCCAAAAAATCAGAAGAAGCTGCGGTCACCGACAACCAATTTGCAAATCTTTGTATTGGGTGATCAGTTGCAGATAAGTTGTAGGGCAGTTGACGATTCAAAGAATTTCGTAAACTTATCTGTGACCGCTCATGGAAACATTTGCGCATGTTGGCAGTTGTTCGGCGATTGATAGGCAATAGGGACTTTTAGATTTGCGAGGACTGACACGTCGTGTGACGTCCATTCAAGGCAGTGCATTAAAGGGACGTCGATCGTAGCAATTCACGTTGTCTTCGTGCAAATCTAAAAGTCCCTAATGATGATAAACAACTGGACGCAGATCAATGGCCAATGTAATGATTATTCATTTATGCACCGGCGGTTACAATATGACACGCAGGGGGGAAATTAATATTCATTTCAGAGGGCAAACAAAAAGTGTTCATGAAGCAAGTCCATAATTTTGGCAGTGATTATTCTAAAATGCACAAAGTGGAACGTGTAATTCAAAATCGTGCAAATATAACAATGACAAGGAAAGAGTCTGACCAAAATATTGAATCTCAAAAAATTTAGTTGAGCCAGAAAGAATGGAAAGACATTTATTATTAATTGGACGTAAATAAGCCTTAAAAACAATGATAGCTTACTTTTTATTATAATAAACACATACCTTTAATTGTTCGGTCTAAACTCGATTAAAAAAAATAAACCTACACGACCATGGATTACTCAAGGTATATTAAAATCAATATCGAAATTGTTATATAAGAAATCATTACGACACCCCTCAAATGAAAAATAATCAGAAATAAATTATCGTTATAAATTAACTTCTATCATCCATTTATCCCGTAAATAATATTATTCAAATAGTGATAGTAATGGGAATAACAATTAGTTATTATGGCAAATTATATACCTCACTTAAGTAATCCAGCAATCTGATTGGTCGAAATTGCATTCATAAACTTTAACTGTTCCCGAAAATTCCCGGTAACCATGGTTAAAAAACAGTTCAAAATCCCAATAACCATGGTTATTGGGAAAATAGGTCAGTCTCCATGGTTACCCCATAGGGTTACATGTTAAACTAGATGGAATTGGACTGCGCGCAGTCGAAAATGATGCCTCCGTCATAGAGCAATTTTACAAACCGAAACGGAAGAAATTTTTCAAATTCAAGTTCAATTGTAATCCATTAACATGTTCTCAGAATATCGTGATTACAAGCAATTTCTCATAAACATATATGACCCTTTGATCTTTGACCTCATGACCCTAAAATCTACTCAGTTCATTGGCTCTGCAAGATTTCCTGAGTTAAATAGTAATCCATCTGTCAGTTCTAATGAGAATGCGTCCACAAGCTATTTTTGCATACATAATGAGCCCATGACCTTTGATCTTATGAACCATTCATTGGCTCTGCAAGATACATAAATGATCTAAGTTTGGCAGGAATCCATCAATCTGTTCTAATGATAATACGATCACAAGCTATTTTTGCATACATAATGAGCCGCATGACCTTGACCTTTACCTCATGACCCCAAAATCTAATCAGTTCATCAGCTCTGCAAGTAACATACATGACCAAAGTTTGGCAGGAATCCATCAATCGGTTGTTCAGATAACGCGATCACGAGCTGTTTTTGCATACATAATGTGCGCTGTGACCTTTGACCTCGTGACCCCAAAATCTAATCAGTTCATTGGCTTTGCAAGATACATACATGACCAAAGTTTGACAGGAATCCATCAATCGGTTCTTCAGATAACGCGATCACAAGCTGTTTTTGCATACATAATGAGCCCTGTGACCTTTGACCTTTGACCTCGTGACCCCAAAATCTAATCAGTTCATCAGCTCTGCAAGATACATACATGACCAAAGTTTGGCAGGAATCCATCAATCGGTTGTTCAGATAACGCGATCACAAGCTGTTTTTGATTACATAATGAGCCCTGTGACCTTTGACCTTTGACCTACGTGCTCCAAAATGTAATCAGATTGTTTTCCTATAGTGATACACACTATCACTAAGTTTGAAGTATAAATCTCCAGTGGTTCTTGAGATATCATGATAACAATCTCAATGTATGGAATTTCATAAGTTGACCTCTGTGACCCTTGACCTTTGACATACGTGCTCCAAAATCTAATCAGATCGTCTTCCTATGGTGATACATACTATCCTTAAGTTTTAAGTTTAAATCTCAAATGGTTCTTGAGATATCGCGCTAACAAACTCAATACAAGGAATTTCATAAGTTGACCTCTGTGACCTGTGACCTTTGACCTACGTACTCCAAAATCTAATCAGATCGTCTTCCTATGGTGATAAATACTATTCCCGAGTCTTAAGTTTAAATCTTAAATGGTTCTTGAGATATTGTGATAACGGTCAAACGGGACGGACGTACGGACGGACAACCCGAAAACATGATGCCTCCGGCACCACCTTCGGTGGCGGAGGCATAAAAATGGTCTGAGCGATCGAGGATACCGTACGTGTGCGAAGAATTGGTCGGTAATTTCAATACAATTGAATCTCGATCGATCTTACCGATAATTTTATCTTGCATTGTTGACATGAAGACGAAAATAAACTTCCAAAAACAAAAAAACAACATCTGCCGATAGATCTTGATCTAAATTCGTGCCAATATGCATTGCAAAAGTAAAAAAAGGGCCTGTTTAATGGAGCAGCCGCGAAGGATCCACCACGCGAAGCCGTTTCAATCCATTTTAATGTATATATAAAAAAAAAAAACTGCTTTGAACGGTAACAGAGCGCGATAGCCGAGCGGTTTAAAGCGCTGATCTTAGTTACATCACCTTTTGTACGCAAGAGATCGAGTCCCATCTTCGAAAAAAAAAAAAATTTTCCCTTTCTTTTTTTAATTTTTTTTTCGGCATATAAAAGTATTAATGACTGCTTTAATATTCGAGAAATAGTTGTTTTTATACGCTCTCGGGAAGGTTACAATTGGGCTATCACCCTCGGCACGCCTCGGGTAATAGCACAATTCTAACCTTCCCTTGAGCGTATAAAAACAACTATTTCTCTCAAAGCAGTCATTAATACTATACTATAATCTCAATTCTTGGTTCTAATAAGAATATGCAAAATATTCATAAAACTGTTGATAATGGGCAAAATATACCCTGGCCAAATTGCAAATGCTTTTAATAATTATTTCATAAATGTTGGTTCAGAATTAGCAGATTAACCACTTACAAAACAACACTATTTAGAATATATACAAAATAATAATGAACAATCTTTATTTTTGGTTCCGAGAACTGTTTATGACATTTTGGAAATTGCACAGTCATGAAAGTGTAGTAAATAAAGTGGATACGATTAAATTAGTTTATATCTGAATGTTTCATTTAAAATATTATTCATTTTTTATTGCTTCCCCATTGTGTTGTATTTTTGATTTATCTCTCACAATTCCTAATTTATTGAAAATAGCAAAAGTAATTCCTTTATATAAGAATGATGACCCCTCTCAAATGATAAATTAAAGACCAATTTCTTTGTTACCGAGTATATCTACAATATCAGACAAAATTGTACATAAAAGATTTTATTCATTTTTGCATATTAATAATATATCAATACCTAACCAATATGGATTTAGAAAAGATCACTCAACTGATTAGGCAATTTTGCTATCATGTGATAAATTACTAATTCATTCGCTAAGAAAAAACACATTGTAGGAATTAGTATGGACATGTCTAAAGCGTTTGACACTATGGATCATGGATTATTGATATGTAAATTAAAAGCTTATGGAATTAGAAGCACCATTATTTTATGGTTTAAAGACTATTTAAATAATAGAATACAATTTGTTGATTTTAAATGTAATTCGTGGCTAACTTCAACCATTAAATGCGGAATGCCACGAGGCTCCCCTTTGATTTATATTAATGACATTTTAAACACAACAACACTCTTATAATACATTTTATTTGCAGACGACACTAATATATTTTAATCACATTTACATTTAAATACTCTCATTGAAACTTTGAATTATGAATTAGACAAATTATCTATTTGGTTTAGATGTAATAAAATATCATTATGAGCAAAAGAAAATTTATATATTCTAAGAGTTTGCACTCTACACACAAACTTGCTGCGAATATAATGTTGATAGGATCCCTATTGTACAAAAAGATTCAGTTAAATTCTGTATTACATTAAAAAGCAAATATCTCCACAACACAGATCATTAAATATATTTATATCAGTACGTACATTGGCTTTTTGTATTAGATTTCTAAAATTCATTATCCAAATTTGCATTTCAATTTCACCTCTAAATCTTATTAGTTTCTGATAAATGTCAGTAGTGTTACAATTCGCCGAAGAAGGAAAAATGTTTAATCCGTTCTTACTGACCAAGAACGGTCGAGTTTATTGTTTGAATTGGATGGGTATCACGTATCAGTCTGGCCTAAATACGATTAGGAAGTCGAATAAACAAGGATGGAGATGCTAATAGCAATTGCTGACCCTTCCCCTTCTCTCTCTCTCTCTCTCTCTCCCTCTCACCTCTCTCTTTATGGTGGTTAGCCTGCATAAACAATGTCAAGATGTATCGATAGATGTGTGTGGTTGTGAGAATGCGTGTTTAGGAGCGCATGTGCGTACGTACGTGAGTGAGTGCGTGCGTGGGTGCGTGTCTCACCTCCCTCCTCTCTCTCTCTCTCTCTTTCTGTCATATTACCGTCATTTTACTTATTTCCTTATTTATTTCGTTAATTTGTCGGCCTCGTAAGATGTAGGTCTACTAGGATGACCACTAATTAATCGTTGATCCTGTGTCCCTAACAGTAGAGACCCCAGTAGAGACCCCAGTCCCTGTCCCACTACCCGACCCCGCAGGGTGAACAGATGCCCTCCCCGGGAGCAGACGGAAAGCCTGAAGAACACCCCTTCGAAACGCCTTGTTCTTAAACACGTAGATAAAGGGATTCACGCAGGAGTTGAAGAGGGCGATGATGACGGTGAAATGGTAGTACTGCGAGGTGAAGTCGACACGGGCGCCGAGTGTGAAAGCGAGAAAGAGGAAATGGTTCGGTCCCCAGCATATGACATAGAAGAGAACGACGACCCAGAGTGTCTTCTGCATGTCGTCAGCTGCTCTAAACTGCCATCGGTCCTTGTTGATTCCAGCTTCACCATCTAGAAATATTGGAAAGTTCATTGGCTTCGTGAGAAATAATGAGGATAAAATATAGATATACTTATACCCATCACAGTGTTACAATAGACTCCCGAGTTCCCGAGCTCGTCACACCGGTGGCTCTTTTTTATTTTATTGTGAGCACTTTTTAGCCCCGCCCCCCCCCCCCCCACTCAACGCATATGCTCGTTCCCTCTTTTTGAAAGCACCCCCTATCTGAGTACTGCCAACATTTCCGAACCCCCCTTTCTCGTGCTTTTTGCGGGCTTTTCCTGCCTTGGAGACCCCCTAAATTCGGAAAAATGCTCAATGTACCCCTCTTAATTCGGAAAAATGCTCAATTTACCCCCCTAAATTCGGAATAATTTCTCAGGAGTCCAAAGAGATGAGAGAAAAAAAGAAAAAACACCCCCTTTTTAAAGAAATCTCTGGGTGAAAAGTCAAATACACCCCTTTTTTTACAATTCTCGCGCCGGACTTTGTCTCACGAAAAGTACCCCTTTACCGGACATTTTGGTAACACGCATGCGGTCATTCCGACCCCGGAGTGGGGGGGGGGGGGGCGGGTTTTTAGCCCATACCTTTACAATCGAAAGTGCATGACCGACAGCATATAGTCGCTGGTGTGACAGATTTGACCACTTTATCAATGTTTTTAGGACGTGTTTTTTCAAACTATACACCCGTTTCCAAAGCTCATTGCGTGGTCTTTTGATCAGTTTTCAATGATAAATACAATGACGTATGAATCAATATTAGAAAAATCTTTTGGATCCCCAATCCCAAATAATTTAGATACATTCATCAGTCTGCAGTCCGTCTTGAAATACAATATTTATGGATAGATAGTTGTGTGAACTTCTTAAACACTGGTCTAATATAGTAAATACTGGTAATAATTTGAATTACTCAACAGTTCCTTTAAAAACAGTCACGAAACCGAGTTGTTTTGATACAAGTAGTAAAATACACGCACGTAGGTACATGTCAGTGATAATAATGGAGAGTTTACTCTTTCTCTTCTTAATTTCAAAATAAAATCGTAAACCGACCTCGTTGTGGTTGTCCGCTGTTAAATGATTTTGCCTGATTTCGGAGCGAGATGATGGCACGGGTCTGGAGCACGAGGGTAATGACGATGGGTAGAGCATACATCATGACGAAAAGAAACACTCCAAAAATCTGTAGTTCGGCGAAAGGGAGTACAGTGATAAGGTAAGTTCGCTTGCCTGGCAACCTTCAGGGAGTGTAGCAAAGTCGAAGGAAAAACAGGGACATGCGCCAGGGGTCTACATGTACGTTATTTTTAAAAATTAAGAACCTCCGGAATTATGAACATTGTTTCATTTTCAAAATTGTGAACCGTATTTCATTTTCGGAATTGTTAAACCCTATTTCACTTTCGGAAATACGAATCTTTGGACCAACGAACATTATGAATTACGAACCCTCAAAATATAAACGAACCTTTGGAATTATGAATTTTCGGAAAATGACATGTAAACTAATCGTTTCATACCGAGACTTTTTTCAGTACTTTTTCTTCTAATATTTCTTCAAAGGCGAGAAATATGCACTAAAAGAAAAAATATAAATGATTCAAGCCCTACCTAAATCTAAACGGAGAAATCTAACTCACCTCTTATCCTTTTGTGTCATTATGTTCTTTTAAATTTAAATCAATAAGCAACTCCTTAAAGGCCCATTGCACTACTTGTAGCTACTTGCGCCCTCTATATAACAAACAATGCTTAATCGGTGACCATTGGTCCCCCATGATCCTCTTTTTCTTATGTTAACTGAGAGCTGAGTTGATGAGATAACCACCTGTCCAGTGACCTCGTAGGGCGGTCTAATCCCTCCTGTAATCTATGGCAGATAAGCTTTAATATCAAATTTTAACTTTTATAAAGATCGAAGGACGTAACCCGTCTCACACCAAGCATATGTTGCTATATTAGTCCCTTGACGTTATTTTTTGTCATTATTCTAGTCAAATGCCCTTTTAGATCTAGAATCCTTCATAGGAGTGACCCCCACCCCCCCCCCCCCCCAATCCTTCCGAACCACCTCAAAATAATATCTAGTGGCTAACTACTTACCATTTGATCGACTCGATTCGAGAAAGGGATGAAGATACAGAAACCATTGGATGGCTTATAAGAAAACATGTGATAGAAACACAGGAGAATGGCGAAAACCCAGCAGGAGACAACCACGATGATGGCAAGTCTGGGTGTGAAGTAAAGCTTATACCGGATGGGATGGACCACTGCGAAATAACGCTCTGCGGTGACAGCGACGAGGCTACAGGCCGAAGCGACGATCGAGGCCCACAGCACGGCCTTCGAGATAAAAAGCCGACAGTAGAGCTGCCCCGCCAAACCGGACGGCGCAGGTGGAAAATTCATGAACAGGTGAAATGGAATGACGAGGAGGGACGTCGCGAGGTCATTGACGGCGAGATTGATGATGAAATGGCTGGTACGAGTACGGAGCGCGGGGACGCGGAGGAGAACGAAGCAGACGAGAGCGTTGCCGGTGATTCCACAGAAAGCGATCAGGCCGTAGATCGTGCGGACAAAGGCGCTATTTTCGATTCTACCAGCCGTCCATCCCACATCGAAATCCTCTATGATAGAATAGTTGGTAAATGGCATGTTTGTTGATCCGGAGAATGATTCCATAGCTCAAGCAACTATAACGCTTGCAGATAGTTAACAATTTTAGTCTTTGAGGCAAATTAGGTCGTGTTGATTAACACATCAACGCTAATGATAAAGGCTTTTGAAATTTAATATCCAACTTCCCCCCGACAAAGGTTTTCGCGTCCGGTTGGATGAACGACAGGTTATCAAGTTAGAAAGGGTATGAAGAAAATGAAGAAAATGCACAAAATATGAGAAGATTGAGAACGAAACAGTTACAATTCAACTATACGCCATACAGAAGCGTTTAAAATTGACCGTCTGTTTCGAATGATGTTTGACGCGAAGTTCTATTTAGATACATGTATTCTAAAGACTTTTGAGAAGTTGATGCTTTGGTTGCTTTGTTGCTGCTATCTATATGGGTGATCCTGAAAACGATGGTGATTACCAACTCGACAAAACAGAATAACACAAACATCGATGTTATACCTCTTTTTATTGATGCTAGTCGTACACCCCTCGAATCTTGTCTTCAATTCTCGAATGATTGTGAAGAAGAAAAGCCTCTCTTCAGCTTGAAGTATCAGCTTGAAGTATGCCGGTTATCTTACAATCTCTCACCTCACAAAGAGAGAAAAGAGGGTGTGGTTTGCAAAAGCACAATACTTCCTATTCCCCGAGCTGATCCTCCCCCGGCGTAAATCGTTCATTAGAAAGGTTGAGGATTTATACGGCCATGCTGGCAAATCTCCCATCGCCTCAACTGCAATGTTTAAAAAAAGTAAAAACCTAAGTGAACATTGGAATTCATAATGATGCATGACGGTAATATGGATTATAGCCAGATGCTTGAATTATTATCTTTATCTGCAACGAAATGGAAGTGTTTGAATAATAGATATAGAAAAATCCATTGTAACTATAGCAACGTAGATGTTTAAATGGACTGTTAAGAATAATTTCGATATCCTAACCATTATTGATCCCACCTATCCTTCTTTGTGACGTTAGAGACTAGACTAAATGGGCAATTCTTAAAGGGAAGGTTAAAGTTCTATTAAAGATAAAAAGAATAATGAGTTTATAACTTTTTTTTAATTTTTATTTTCGTCTCAGTTTAGAAGAATATATCAGATAATCATATGTAAAGGATTTCCCTTCAAAATATGACCCCATATTTGAAAAACGATAAGAAATAGCTGAAAGGGTTTGGACCAACCTTTTCATCTCTGAAAAATGCCCCTATTACAATCTGAAAAGTGTCTCTTTTCGTTCGACAGATGCCAGTTTTCCATTCTCACAAGTGCCCTTTTCCACTTTTCCAGATGCAAGAAAATGACTCATTTTCACCTCTGATGATTGCTAATCTTAATTTGATATGTGCACCTTTTCTTTTAAAATAATCTTTTTTTCCCCTTCTGATAATGTCCCCCTTTTCCTTTTTCCATTAAATGCGCCCCCAATTTAAAGCAATTTAAAACCCTTTTTCTTTACTCTTCCTAAAAGATCGCTCGCTACGCTCGCTCGCATTTTTAGGTGATAGGATAATGTTACTAACAAAATGTCATTTTAGCCTTCCATGATTAGATGCGCTTAAATCTCATCAGGATTTGTTTTTAATCCTCTTTTTAATTATAAGATGTAATTTTTCGCAACGCGAATTCAAAATTTTATTTTTTTGATTCGCTCGCAAATTAATATTCAGTCCATCAAACCCAACTGCAAAGTATGATGCTTTAGCAGTATCTTGGACCGTGTAAAGAGAGAAACAAATGTTGTTATCACTCCTGATAATGGAATCCCAATTGTTCCGAAATAATAGATCGCGATGGTGCTGGGTCAATTTCTACCGCCCTAAAGAAGGAACACGAATGCCTAAACCATGCTAGATTCAGATTATTATTATTCACTTTAACAAGATCATCATCGTGTTTTTTTAAAACAAAATGTCATTGCCAGTATTTTTAAAGCTCTAGCCTACCTTCCATCAGGATTGATTCTAGCAGACCATTTCTTCTAAAACCCTTCTTAAACTTCGATCTATACATGGCCTACGTTTTCTAGCGAACCATGTTCTCTCCCCGATTTCACAAACGAAAGGATTCTTTTAGAGCAATAATTACGATTTTCAAAGGAATTTTCTGAAGATATGATTGCGATCTCGACATGGTGTGTGCGATATAAAAAAAAATATGGCCAGTGGTACATATATGCTAACAATAATATGCACAATGATTGAGCTTTGAAACTCAAAAGCAAAATTTGTATAGAGTTTTTCCTCCTTTTCTTCTTTCATATTGTCCGATTTAATATGATGTCTACAGGATTTGATCATTTATTTTTCAAACGGACTTGCTAATGTGAGTTTACCACGAACAAAATTATTTCCATTAAAATTTAATCAAAATCGATCTATTGTGTAACTATTTTTCATTTTTTACATCTGCCATTATTTTGTGTCTCTATCTATCTCTTTCTCCCTCGTTGACTCAACCAATGTCTTTAAAAAGTAAGCAGTTTTAATAATAACAACAATAGCGCATATTACATTGCAACGTCCCTATGAGCTTCCAAAGAGCTTTGAGATTATAAATAAATGTCGGTTTTATGGTATTATAATATTGTTTAAAGTGAACCGGTAACACTGTGGAAGGTAGAAATAAAAAAGCTGCGTAATTTGTGTATGAAATATTGCTTATTATATTCCCTCTACTGTACTAAGCCTCTAACATGCAAAAAAAATCCTGAAAAAAAATCTCAAACCACAGACAATCTTTGAAGGCATCAACGTGCAACCCCCTCTTAGTCTTACGATAAATTCTCCCAACCAATTTTTGAATTTTCCAAATCCTTTTTTCCGTAAAATTATGACATAAAACAGGCGTTAAAAATATGTCAACACTGAAATGTGTGGAATGGTATATAGCGCCAATGCAATGCTTTGTGATGATTTACATTCACCTAAAATTTAATTTTTTTTATTATAATAATATAGTTGGGAGAATTAAGGAATGGATCAGATAAGTTTTCCAAATTGTTATCATTAATATTGGTCTGTATTAACTAAAACGTTCAGATTATCTTTAATTGTACATTTAGCATTGAAGTCACTACCTTAGCACCATTTTCTCTCATCTGAACAATGTTACCAAGTCCCTTTAAACTATGGAATAATACTCATTAATTTAATATGATTCATCAAGTGGCATTGGTTTGAAAAATAATTTCTTATTTAATATGGCAGTAAGATGCTCATTAGTTTTGTTGTTGTTGTTTTGTCTTCAAATTTCATGAGATATCATCAAATATCTGCGACTTCCAGAAACTCATTAAAACATTGAATTTAGGTTATTACTTTTTTTCAAAACATCCAAGTGAAAGTTTTATGTTTAAAAAAAAATCAATTATTTCACTACAAGGTTTTATGTCTGACTTAAAAATCCATGACTAATAATTACTTCCCTCTGACTTCAATTTACTCCCGGAGATTAATCCTCCTCTCCTTCGAATCTCTAATGTCTCTCAGGTCGAATTATGTCACTATAAGGTATTATGTAACTCCAAGTCACTCGAAATGTACTAATGCATCATTAAGAAGAAAAAAGCGGTCACAAAATTTTGCCTCTGCTATTATTCTCAAAAATTCAATAAGTGACTGACAAAAAAGAAGTGATTAATATTTACCTCCCGCTGACTTTAATTTACTCCCGAAGATTAATTGTCCTCTCTGTCGAATTTCTGATTCTTCCCAGGTAAAATGTCAATGGCTTATTAGTTGACTTTAATATTTGATGTGAAGATCATGTGACGAAAGTCGACTAAAATACTCAGCTGCAAAACAAGTCGAGTTGAGCAAGAAAAGAACTGAAGAGAACTTTTTTCTACATGGTGTCTCTTTGTTTAGTATGAATCGTCATTTCTTGAGAGATACAGATGTTGCCTCATATCTGACCCATTATAAAGTGAGTCAGAATTGCTCCCAACTCCGTAATACTTGAACGATAATATGCATAGGTAATAAAGCCATCTTTAGTATTTCTAAATTTTAGACCACTTTGATATAAAGACAGCCACGCGCATGCGCTTTCCGATAAATTTCCTTTCAAAATGAAGTAGACTGACGTATGGGAAAAGCGTGATGGAAAGTTTAAGGTCAAGAGATGGAAAAACTCAAAAAGCGACAGATGTATTGTAGGATGTAAATAAAGAAAATGTTCCAATTCCTTTCAACATTTTAAAGATTATCAAATACTGTACTCATATTAAAGTGGATAGTTTACATCATTAATCTGACATTTTCATTCAATTCCTCCAATATGACCTTTGTCGTCATTTCCTCCGCGTCCCTATCACCCCCTTTCCATTCCTCATGTTCATGATGTTACAGTCTTATTTTTTTCTTTCTTCTTATCACTACTTATCTTTTGTCTTTATTTTTTCTTCTCTCTCATTCTTGACCTTCTTATTCTAATCTTCTTTCTTTCTTTATAAAGAATATCTTGTACTTTAAAAACCTACTTTTTTTTTTTACGGCTAATACTATTTGAAGAAATGTAATCGGATTTTGAGGAATCATTTTTCAAGTATTTGTATGCACGGTTACTACCGGTGCATGTCTACAGGTCATGAATGAAGCGATTTGGTCGTTGCAACGTAGGTTGTTTCTTTACAGCTTACATTTTTGGTTATGCCATAGCATTCAACTTTTAAAAAAAATAATCTTCTTACATCAGACACAAAGTTAAATCAATCGGAATCCACCGCTTTACGAGGACAAGCTTTATCACTGGCACATTCTGTTGACAGCCATGGTCAAACGTGACAAGCACAAAAGCTCTCTCTCTCTCTCGCACGCGCACGCACACACGAACACACGCAAAGCACGCGCTATACAAATCTTAAATTATTATTATTATAATTATTATTATAATCAAGAAGTTTGGCTATATTTAATAAAGAAATAAAAAGTTTAGTTTGAAATGTTATGACAGAGATAATATACACTGGAG